TGCCGCGTGGAGCACAGGGACATAGAATATATTCGGAGACGTTTTGATGGACTCATTAATGGTTCAGCTTTGTACAGTTTACGGAGTCTGGTCGTAGTTTATATACAGTTTCCTTAATCTGTTTTAGTTGTTAAGTCCTGGAAATGTTGACAAATGTAAAATTCGCGTTTATATATTGTGTTAGTTTAACATGTCAAAATAAAAATTTATTTTTGAGAAAAAACATCTCATTTTTACGATTTCGTCCTTACATACAACATTTCGCTATTGGTCATTGTGTCATATTGTATTTTTGTATAGAATTTCAAGATTAGAATAGAACCAGTGAACGCCTGCAATTATTGATTTTATTGCAGAATGATTGTTTATTTATGTGTTTATGCTATGTGAGGCTCTAGTGGATAAAACGAAATCCACATTAAAGGAACATATTTACCAATTTCAGGGGTTGATTTGGGTCTTGAATATATATAATTAGTCTCCAGAAGTACCAGGAATGTACAAAAATCGCATAATTCCTTCAACAATACCTCAAACTATGAATTTCTTTATTTTTCTATCTATGTCTTTCCCATATATGCGTCGTCTTTTTAACTTTCAGATAAATCTGGATACACATGGATTTGCAGGCTCAGATTTCGACGTTGAACATTATAAGCTTTGATAAGTGATTACCTTAGCTAAAAAGAATTTCCTTTCTGAGACTAATGTTCGATCTGTAAAACGAATGGCACACCTGTCCCTTCAACTTTTCAATGAGCGTTATTACCATTTTTAGATAGATGTAGGCCTATCATGCCATCATTAGTTACATATACCTTAATGTTCATAACGGGCAGTCAATTGATACTGTCGTCACTTCTGCTGATAGGTTCTTATTTGACTACGAACCTGACGCCAGTTTGTCACTCTGAGATGTGATATATAAAATTGATTCTTATCAGCTGATAAAGCAAATATTTAGACAACAATGTCGCCGCTTTTATGGGCTTCTGTAGCACAGACGGTTAGAGAGTTGGATCTTTATATGACGTCATTTTCTTAGTTACGTTGAGCAAATGGTGACAGTGGGTTCTAATCTCGACTGAAAAACCGACCTTGAATAAGTTATATTTACTCATAATTCCAAACGACCCAGCTGTAAATGGGTACGGACAAATTCAGGAAGGAACAATGTCAAGAGGTTTGGCCAAAGACGAGCAGGTAGAAAGGATCGTTCGTGGACCATGCTATCCTTGTAAAACATAGTCGTTCTTCCTTTTTTTTAGATGTAGGACAATACTTAATAGGAATACCACACATTTGGTCTATTTGTATTCTATTGTATAATAGATATAATTATCAATGGAAGAAAGGATTGGCATGTCATAAGATCTCAGTTTATTGTTTTCAAAAGTGATGTCATTTATAATTCATAGAAACTACTTCAACTGTATTTCACTCCCAAGCGCATAAGCAGAATACTTCTGGTGACGCGGAACGGAGTATCAGTCTGCCGGGAATATAAGATGAAAAATTAATCTTGTTGCTATGTTGACTATTGTAAAGTCAATGGTTTGAAGACGGTTAGTTTAAACTGCCTTCGCAAAGTTATTGAAGGAGGACAAGACCATGCACCGAGGGAAAGGTTTGACAGAATAACTGTTTAAATAACTATCTAAATTATCCGAATCTCTTGATATCGTGACTTTATTCCGATAAATAATGCAAGTCATTCATTACCGTGATATGTTGCAGAGCGCTAGCAGAACGTTCACTGTAGACCGTTGGACGCGGTTGGTGTAAATACATTTAGTGTACATGCATAGACTACGGATTTCAGCAGTAGGTGGTTGACAGATCATACTCTCCGTATTACACCCTATTAAGCACGAGATTTTTTTATATTGCTTAGAAATAATATAGAATGCAGTAGATGGGACGGGACACTTCTACAGAAAATATATTCTGTAATGGATCTGAACGTTTTCACTGTTGTAAGTAATTTTAACGTTTTTTTCTTTTTTACTGACCGGAATGAAACATAAATAGAATGACATAGAACACGAATAGCTAAAGGGAAAGGGGGGGGGGGGAGTGTTTTTTTTTGTTTTGTGATTCAGTCTCGATGTGGGTAAAGATGTACCCCCAAAAGTTATCTATCAGGACATGGTTTACAACCTCTGACTCGCGGCTTCAACTTTGGTAGCGAAGCACTTTTCCCGGGGTCGCGGACGAGTCTGAAAACGTTTTGACAATTGATTTCGCTTGCGAAAATTCTTAAAAGCTCTCGAGGGGGGATATCCCTCCCTTTTCTCAGATCGCTGTTAATGTATAATTCTCGAAGACCCCATTCTCATTTTTGCACCTTTTGTGCACAGTTAGCCAGAATACATCATAATTTAAAATTGCTTATTAAATGCTTTTGGAATCACTGAAAATACATTTTCCGGGCTGAATCGTAACCATAGAAGATAATTTGGTGAATGATGTTGGTTCACAAGCGTTCTTAAAAACCAAAAAGATGAACGTTTTGATGGAGATTTCGAAAAAGAATCGTCAGAAATGCGCTCCCTGGGCTTCTAGTTTCAAAAATGTCTTGGGGGGAAAGCCCCTTGACGGACCCGACCTCCTCCCTATAACTCTGGTTTCGCGCACCAACGTTGATAAAAAATTCGGGCCCCTGCACCAATTCACTTCTAGCGACGAGGCTGATTGCAAAACTTGTCCATGAGGAACCGAAAAAACTATCGCATTGATCAATACTTTACGGTCAATATTCAACGATAACGTATTATAAATGACAACGTATTATAATAAAATTGAGTAAAACGTGAAGCTTTGTTCTACTTTGAAGGGTCGCGATCTGATGCCGGTTTTTGTCATTGGAAACCTCTGTCTCAGGACCTTGTCAATAAAACGGGTCGTTCAAGCTAACGTGAAAGTAAGTTAATGGAAAATAAGGTGTCGTCCTATACTACAGCCCGGGTACGGTAAGATTATCTACACAGAAAATAAATCTTTTATTGAATTGTTCCTCGAAAACAAAATGGGTCCCATAGCTAAAAATATAACTAAACAAATGTCGTCATCAGATTAATCACACTCCATCAGAATGATCTGCAGACCTCTTCAAAAATAACAACAGCAAACAGATCGATATCCATAGACGATGTTAAAATCAAACTTTAATTGAATAGATAGAAAATTACACGAAGTTTGAATGACAATGTCAACATACAACCAATATACAGCAAACATAATTTTACTATATCCTAGTTTAATCAATTCTAATATAAATTGGTTGTTTTGTACTGACTTCAAAGATTTTATATGTAGCCCGAGGACAATTTTGAGAATCATATTAATATGTAGTGGAACTCAGATTGAGGCAGTATCTTGCGCTAGTGTGACACAGATATATCTAGTGCTTGTCCTTCTTTTAAGATATTTTTCTAGTGTGACTTTTACAGATCTTTGTAATATCTGGATCTAGTGCTACGTTAAAATATCCAGCGTTAGAATGGAGGAGAAATATCTGGTGAAAAACCAACGTTGAAAAATTCAGCACTAGTGTCACATTATAGTTCCAGTCAGACTATGGATTAATTACCTGTGCTAGGTTGAAACATCTATGTTGAAATAAAGCTAATGCTATTACAATGTTGAAATATCTAATGCTATTATAATGTTGAAATATCTAATGCTATTATAATGTTGAAATATCTAATGCTATTATAATGTTGAAATATCTAATGCTATTATAATGTTGAAATATCTAATGCTATTACAATGTTGAAATATCTAATGCTATTATAATGTTGAAATATCTAATGCTATTATAATGTTGAAATATCTAATGCTATTACAATGTTGAAATATCTAATGCTATTATAATGTTGAAATATCTAATGCTATTATAATGTTGAAATATCTAATGCTATTATAATGTTGAAATATCTAATGCTATTATAATGTTGAAATATCTAATGCTATTATAATGTTGAAATATCTAATGCTATTACAATGTTGAAATATCTAATGCTATTATAATGTTGAAATATCTAATGCTATTATAATGTTGAAATATCTAATGCTATTATAATGTTGAAATATCTAATGCTATTACAATGTTGAAATATCTAATGCTATTACAATGTTGAAATATTTAGAACTAGACATTGAAATATGACATGTTTAAGTGGCAAGCAGTGTGACGTTAACATATGTAGTGCTTGAGTGACGCTGAATTAATATTTAGTACCAGAGTGATATTAGTGGTATTTTATAACCAGGCTTAAATTAAAGTGCTTAGAAGAGTTACAGTTTCAATGCAAGAAGTGTGACTTTGACATATCTAGTACTTGTGTGATGTTATGATATCAAATACTAGTTTGACGTTGAAATATGAAGCGCTAGTGCTTCGTTGATATTATATTATATTAGTGCCCTCACTAGTCTGACTTTGAAATGTTTTGTAGTCTTGTGACGTCAAAATATCCAGTGCTAATGACGTTGAAATATCTAATACTAGTGTGATGGTGTGACATCAAGTACTAGTGTGACGTTTAAATATCTAATACTAGTGTGACGTTTAAATTTTTAATACTAGTGTGACATTAAACTATCTAATACTAAAGTGATGGTGTGACATCCATTACTAGTGTGACGTTTAAATATCTAATACTAGTGTGACGTTTAAATATCAAGTACTAGTGTGACGTTTAAATATCTAATACTGTGACGTTTAAATATCTAATACTAGTGTGACGTTAAAATATCTTTCATTGGTGTAACGTTGAAATATTTACTATTGTGACTTTGAAATACTTCGTACTATTGTGACGTTAGGATATCTAGTGCTAATTACGTGATATCTATACGTAGGAATAACTAGCACTGACGTTGAAATATGTAGTGCTGGTGCAACGTTGAAAAAAATAGTAAAGTGCTAGTGTAACGTTGAAAGAGCTAGTGCTAGTGCAATGTTGAAAGAGCGAATAACGGTGCAACGTTTAAAAATGGTCGAAGTTATGAACGCGATTATTCCTTGGATTGTAAGTGGACGAAAGGGAATTCACTTTATAGGAAACAGTAGGCGACAGTCATTGCATTGTAGTTTTACTGTCGGTAGATCTTGTAAACGTCAACTCGTCACTTCCTTCGGGGAGGATTATTATTACCTTTTTGTGACAAATTTCCGTAATTTTGAGCAATTTAAAGGGATTGTAGAGAGGTTTTCTAAAAATGTTTATGTGTATCGGGGACACTGGTAGCATCAATTTGCACCATTTCAAATTACAGTAAAGACGTCTGTGGTTCCTGCAATTCCACTAAAACTAAATGTTTTATGACGCCACTCTTTACAATCCTTTTAAGAATATTCACCGTTATGGTTCTCATTTTTTTAAAGTAACTTGATCTCCACCAATCCTTTCTGTTTCAGGTTTGGGTGTATGCAGTTTCACAAGCTCACTCAGCGACCCCAGATAGAGGTAGGTGTCTAGTGTTTGTATACGCCCACATTAATAATGTGGACGTATATTGTCGTCACCTATATCCGTCGGTCCGTCTGTCCACAATTGGCTTGTGAACGCGATAAACACTACAGTCGTCATCTGATTTGAATGAAATTTGGTGTGATCATTTATATTGATGAGATCTTGGACAAGTTCGATATTCACGATTTTTCGATGAACGGTTTTTGAGTTATTTCCCTTGACTTAGCCTAAACGAATTGAAATTGGCTTGTGAACGCCATAGAGACTACAGTTTGCATCTGATTCGAATGAAATTGGGTGTGATCATTTATATTGATGAGATCTTGGACAAGATCGATATTCACAATTTTTCGATGAACGGTTTTTGAGTTATTGCCCTTGACTTACGAAAAACGCGTCAAAATTTGGTTGTGAACACAAGAGAGACTACAGTTTTCATCCAATTTAATTGAAATTTGGTGTGAATATTTAAAATGATGAGATCTTGGACAATTTCGAAATTGGCTATCTTTCGATGAATGGTTTTTGAGTTATTGCCCTTGATTTATGAAAAACTTTGTTTGTGAACACAATTGAGAGTACAGTTTTCACCCGATATAAATGAAATTTGGTATGATCATTTATAATGATGAGTTCTTAGTCAAGATTAATTTTGACAATTTTTAGATCAACGGAATTTGATTTCGGGGAAGGGAGGGTGTGATTCTCCCAAATGTACAGGCCTAGGGTGGAGCAGACACTTTATTTAGAAATTAGGATTAAGGGTCTTGATATTGGGTTTTCTTCTGTTCTTATTCTGATCTGAAATTAGAAGAAATAACTCCCCGATGGGCGAGAAGTATAGTATCTGTTATGTACTGATTGTTTTTAGTTTACTATGAACAATATTATCATTTAAGTTCTTATTTTTGAATATGCAACTATCATTTTCTGCTTATAGACATGGGGGAATTTCTCTTGAAGGCTCTTATAGTGGGCATGAACTATCTTGCTTGCTCGATTGCTGGTTGTATTAAACGGGACAACAAAGGGTGCTATGCCTACATTATGATGAATATTTAGTCCTATAGGTCTTGCTGTATTCAATGTCTCAATCCAATGGGCCTCCCTAGATTGACGGAATTTGGTAGTTTCATCTTCGGTCAAGTCAATTTCTATACGCTCAGATTAGGGTGAGATCGTCTATTGAATGGTCGTCGAGGTTGAAATGATTAGAAACAGGCTTGTCTTTCTTTAATTTGATGTCTGACCTATGAGCATTAAAGCGAGTTCGTAAATTATTCTTAGTTTCTCCTACATATTGTTTAGGGCATTTCTTGCATGAAATTAAATATATTACATTCGAATGTTCACATGTTAGATGTTCCTGGATCGGGTACCTTTTATTCGTAGAGTTGCTTACAAAATAATGAGTTTCTGATATAAAGGGACATGTTTTGCATCTACTGGAGGTACTTCGGCATAAAGTCTGTTTTTAGCTGCTAAGGTGGAATTTTTTATGTTTCGTAAAAATCGTTTAGAGTACCCACGCTCTTTCAGTTTTGAGAAAACAATCGTACAAGCTTGGTTGAAATCAGAAGATCTTGTACAAATTCGATGAAATCGTAAAACTTGTGACTTAATTATACCATAAAAGGTATGTTTTGGGTGAAAGGAGCTCTTGTGCAAGAGTTGATGAGTATCAGTTTCTTTGAAATACACTTTAATATCCAGTTTATTTGTTTCTGCTAAGGAATCTCCCTTAAAGACTGTGGTATCGAGAAAGTCTATGCTCTTGTCACTCACGTTTGCGGTTAGTTTGGATAGAAGGATGGTGGTTGTTGAGAATTTCAACGAATTCCCAAAACTGTTCAATAGAATAAGTCCAAACCATAAAAATGTCATCCAAAAAGCGTCCGTAAAAAAGTGGGTCAAATGGACAGAGGGGCAACACCTCACGTTCCCACTCTGCCATGAAAAGGTTTGCGTACGAAGGGGCGAATCGTTTGCCCATTGCTGTCCCTGAAGTTTGTAAATATGTTTTACCATTAAATGTGAAATCGTTTCGACTAAGACAAATCTCTAAAAGCTGTAGAATTGCATCGTCGGGTCTGTTTGGATCTGGGTTTCTATTAAAAGCTTTACGAACTGCCGTTAAACCCGTAGTGTTATCGATATTGGTATACATAGAAGAAACGTCGATAGAAATTAAAATAGCATTAAAGGGAACTCGAAGATTTTTTTATTTTATTGACAAAATCGGTTGTGTCTTTAAGGTAGGCGCGATGTTGGCATGCTAGAAGTAGTAAGAAATGATCAATGTATTCTGACACTGCATATGACTCACTACCACAGTCAGATATAATCGGGCGGCCTTTAGGGATTTTATTCGAGATAAACCACTCCTTGGTTGGATTCTTATGGATTTTAGGCAAAGTGTACAAATGTCACTCGCGACAATCAGGTTTGGCAGACAGATAGTCATATTGTTTCTGTTTGAGATAACTAGTTTTGACTAAATCGGCAAGAATATTATTAATCATGTTAGCAGTTTCGGTAAAATGGCATAATGTTTAGGATTATTCAGTTGATTCTCTGCTTCTGAAACGTAATCCTCCCTATTCAGAATGACACAACATGAACCTTTGTCACTCTTTTTAATAACAATGCTATCGTCTTTCTTAAGTAAGTTTAACGCTTCACGTTCCACTCGTGTGCGATTAGGCTTTTCGTGTGTTATGGAAAGGTTCACTGTTTGGCTATTCATACTCGCAAATGCTTTCAATATTTCAGGATGGATGGCGGCCTGAGGGGGTGTCCACGTGGATTTAGGAATAAACATTGTTCTAGCACCACGTGGGGGGTGGTTTCGAAAAAAATATGTGCAGCTAAGATTGAAATCGTTCATGATTGAAATCGTTCAATGGATGGTCGGTGATAATTCAAGTTAGCTATCTTTGGTGTGGGAATAAACTTAAGTCCACGGTCTAAGATTGAATGCTGAAGGGGTGTGAGAATTTTGCGGCTCAAGTTAACTACAGTTTGGCCTAGCGGCGGCCTCTCAGTATTTTTATCCCCATTAATTAGTTTAAAGACTTACTCGATGCTTGAAGCTGGTGTATCCAAAACAAATAGATGCAGTTTGCTGTTTCTGGAGACCAATGAAGATTATCAACTGTTTCGAATTCTTCTTCGTAGGGTGGTAAGATTGTTGCGCTGTTGATACTGGACTCCATCATCATGTTGTTGAGAGTGCTGAGGTTCTGTTGTGCTTTCTTCGAGATTTTATTTGAAATAGGTATACATGTGAAGAGGATCTTGGAGTTTGGGAAGGTTTTGTTGGCTGTGGCGATTAATTTCTGGGCTTGGTTAAAGGAGGTCTTTGGTATCTGATCACGGTTGTTGAGGCCTATATGAAGAATAATGGTAGTAGGTTTGGGATCATGGTCGTATGATTCCAGGATTGACTGTATGTGATGGATTTGGGCACCGGGGTAAGAATGTATTTCGGTGTCTGAACTGGTTTTGGTAATTCGATTCAGGTTAGATGATCCAATTATTAAGGTAGATTTCTTTAGAGCAGGTACTTTCCATAATGATTTGTCCTTGGTTTTGTGATAATACGGTTTGGTAGCGGATATAATGGTCGTCGACGGTGTGATTGGTACTGGTGTGGTAGTTGTTATAATTGTAGCATTGGGAACGGACTGGGATCTGGTTCGAGGGGGGGAAGGTCTGGATACACGTCTCGACTTGGACGGAGACTGAGGGGTGGTTTGCTGGTCCAAACACGCACAGAAGGAAGAAAGGTTCCTGGATCACGTGGTGAAGATTCAGATGGTGTGGAAGGGAAGACGAGTCTGAAAGTGAAAAGAGAAGGGGTGTGCTCTCTCTACGAGAGCCTTTACCTATGTCTGCTGGACTAGGAGTAGGTGAACTTCGGGCTAGTTTAGGGGTTTGGTTCGGCAGTGTGGTGGCTCTAGATGGTGCAGGTGTAGTGTCCATTTCAGTTGGTAGAGATATGGTTACTCTGGTCTTTGTTTCGTTGATTGTTTGGTAGAATTTGGAGATTACAGCTTGAGTGAGACGTTTCCCATAGGAGCGACGGGCCCAGGACAGGGCATGAGAAACGATGCGGTCGACGGCAGGTGATGATAAAGACTTGGTACGAATGGTGGTCAGCTTCTCTTGAAGTGTGGTTTGGTAATGGTCGATCAGGACGGAACTGCGTAACCTTACATAGCCATGTCCGATTGAGGAATCTAATATTCGCGTCGACAGCTGATGTTTTCATTGCTGGACGGATAAAACTATCCAACTCAGAGACTTTGCGTTTGAAGGTAAACGCTGGTTGGCCTTGCTGTTGAAGGGTAAGGATTGCCAAATGATGGAGGCACTGCAAAACTTGGAAGAACACCTTCACAACGGGTTCTTCCTCCTTATGAGTGGGGAAATAGAAAAACTTTAATTAGAAAGATGACACAAAATACATAAATTCAGATCTATTACAGACCCGAGGGAGAGGCCATGGCCCAATGTCCCTCTCCCTAAATATACTAAGTAATAAGTAATAATATTTCCATTCGCATTACAGATGTAAGGTACTTGTATTTCACTGGAGGCGATGCTACAGATTGGTATGATGCTAAAGAGAATTGTGCAAAGATCAATGGTAGAATGGCGAAGGATATCATTATAACCGATTGGGATTTACGTTTAAAATCACTGAAGTAAGTTAGTAAATTTCATCATCATAATCATCATCATCATGGTTGTCGTGGTAATTTTCATCATCATCATCATCATTTTCGCCAATGTCGTCTTGGTCATTATGATCATAATCATCATCATCGTATCATTGGATTTCATTGATGGTCGTCCTAGTTCTTAACTAACACAGATCTTGGCGACATTTTCACAATATCCATAACTGCCGCTTTTTATGGTGTGTATCATGTCCTTGAAACGAGACATAATTTTATTAATCTAATAACTACGGTGGCCCATTGGGGACATTTGCAATTTTTTTGTTTTTCGACGTTTCTCAGTGGTTTGAGAGCAGAAGAACTGCAGAAAACAGGAATTGAAATTGTGAAAATTCGAGAAACCGACAAAAAATAGAAGGAATGGAGGGAAATAGAGAAACTTTGATTAGAAAGATGACACAAAATACATAAAAATCACAAAAATTCATAAAAACAATAATTAATCAAAATCGTAAAAATAGTTAAAACATGAAAAATTAAATTTTCCAAAATATTTTGAAAAACACAAAAAATTCAAAGTGAAATCGCAAAAATAAATTTCAACCGTGGTGGTAATACATTTCAACCGCGGCTGAAATTAATTTTTGCGATTTCAGATCAGAACCCGTTCAATTTTTAGTTTGTAAACACTCTGGAAGGCACAATTCTTGATGGATTTTTATGAAACTTGGTGAAATTGATTATTATCACCCAAGGTTGAATCCTGTTTATTTTCCGATTTGTCTAATTTCCGAAATTAATTTTTGTGATTTCACTTTGAATTTTTTGTGTTTTTCATAATATTTTGGAAAATTTAATTTTTCATGTTTTAACTATTTTCACGATTTTGATTAATTATTGTTTTTATGAATTTTTGTGATTTTTATGTATTTTGTGTCATCTTTCTAATTAAAGTTTCTCTACTTCCCTCCATTCCTTCTATTTTTTGTCGGTTTCTCGAATTTTCACAATTTCAATTCCTGTTTTCTGCAGTTTTTCTGCTCTCAAACCACTGAGAAATGTCGAAAAATAAAAAAATTGCAAATGTCCCCAATGGGCCACCGTAAATAACAGTATATAATTGAAGAAGATGAGCTCCAATTAATTTCATTTTGACCAACATTCAGAGGTAATGACAATGAAAAAATCATATTGAAAATTTGATCGAGGCTGTGTCTGCTAGATATCTAAAAATAGAAGATTGCATTCTGCAAGATAAAAGAAGGACGTGTACCCACAAACCTCAAATTTAATTTCAGTCCATTTTTAGACAATTTGTATTGGACTGGGTTAAAGAAAGAAAATGGCGAATGGAGATGGGAAGACGGCACTATAATAGATTATCAGTCAACTCAAGCGGCTCCGTTGCGACCAGAAAATTCTGCCAATATTCCACATGAGTGTGCGTTATGGAGCCCTTTAGAACCGTTCTGGATACCCAGCGACTGTTCTGACATACAGCCGTATATTTGTGAACTAAGAGCAGAAGGTGAGAAGGTGTAACTGGAACAAGTTACTGATATATCAAAAGGATAATCGTTATCAGTGGCCTACCATACAAATCAAGCGCGCACAAATTGCCCAGTTAAACCCACAGGCATTGTTAATATCCCTGTATCTCAGATCTTACCGTTGACTTCGTGCATAGCATGGCTTCATACCAGACAGACTCGACAGAGGTAATGGATTATTGTATTTAATTGAAGTAATGGAATTGGTCAGTTGTCAGATTTTTTGTAGAATTATTTCAGGGAGGAGGAGGGGGGGGGGGGGGTG